CTCTCAGTTCTAAACCTTGTTCTTCCTGTCCCTCCCTCCCTTCTCCCCTGGTCACCTTGCCTTCCCTTCCTTCGGCCCTGACATCCAGCTCTACTTCCCCTGGGTCACGCGAACGGACTTTGAGCACTGGTCCTTCACCGTGGACTGTCATTGTCGCGGCATCCCTCTGCCATGGCACGACTGGCCTGCCATGACCTGGAAGAAGGGGTAACCCCAGGCCAAGAAACGCTGTCTTTGGAAGCCACCTTTTAAGAGCAAGCCCAAGTCCAGATCCTGCACCTTCCACTGTGCTGATGAAGAAACTGAGGCACAAAGAAAAAACTGCAGTCTTCAGAACATTCTTTCTCATTGTAGACAAACGACATCTCCACACGTGAGACAAGGCCACAGGTCTGCATCCCTGCCCCAGGCTGCCCCAGAGCCCTGCCAGGTACCTGTGCTCAGCCCTCATCTTCTCCAAACTCTCTACACGGTGTTCTCGTTCTTTGTTGGGACTTGAAATAGGGTCAAGCTCTCAGCTCTGTAAGGGGTGAATGACCTTAGCCCAAGGGTGCAAATGGCTTGGAGACAACAGCATTGCTTTGGGCTCTGCTGTCCCCGTGCACATGTGCACATCTTACGTGATCTCAAACCCAGCATGGCTCCTGCTAAACTTGCTGACTTCAAGGCCCACTCTTTCCCCACATCCGCCTGTGGTTCATCCTCTGTTTCCTTCACACCCCCCATGTAATCCATCAGCAGGTCCTGCCCAGTCCCCCTCCCAGCTTCTGACACCCCTCCCCATCTCCACTGCCCCTGCAAGGGGCCCAGCTGTGGTTACACCTCCCGGGTGCTTTGAAGCAGCCTCCTAGGAGGCCCTCTCTCTCCTCCCTCGCTCCCCTCCTTCTCCACCCAGTAACCAGAGTCATCTTTCTAAAGCAAAATGAGAGTGTCCCCTGCTTAACATGCTCCAAGGGCTCCCCTGCCTTGGAAGTGGAAGGTGAGGGCCTGGCCCTGTCCAGCCCATCAGATGCCAACCTTATCTCTGCTCCTGCCCAAGGCTCCCCTAGAACACTGTCTTGGAAGTCTTGGATCAGGTGCTACCTCCTTGGAGAGCCCTTGCCCGACCACCTGAGGTAGGGACACTTTCTCTCCTGACCTGGTCATTCCCCGGCCTGTCACCTGGCTTGAGGTGCTTCAGATCACTGGTCCCTGAGGGTACCTTTATGAATATAATATGGCCTCGCCCCGTCCCTGGGGTGCCAACTCCTTCAGGGCAGGGACTGTGTCTTTCTCCTTCTCTGATCTCCAGCGCTCAGGGGACAGTAAACGCTCTGCCACCACTTGCTGACAGCCTTACTGGCTGCCCTAACGCTGCCCGTGGGCCAGCAGAGGAGCCCACCTCTGTGAAGCAGTGACCCAGGGCCAGGGTCTTGGTCTGCTGCTCTTCAGGGTCTCGGGCACGTCTCTTCCCTTCCTGTCTGTCTCCTTAGCTTCCAAATGGGAATGGAGACACCAGCATTGCCTATTTGGTGAGTTTCTTCATCCAGCCACTCATTAAATAAACAGGTATTGAGTGCCCAAGGTGGGTTTCGCCTTCAGCTGGGAACCTGAGGTACAGGTATGATTAGGTGGACTCCACACCCCACACTGCATAGGTCTACAGGCCTCCTTCTCTGGGTGTAAGAATGAGTATCCCCCAGACAAGACAGGCCTGTGTCCCACTCTCACAGAAGCTTCCTTCTAGTTTTGGGGAGAGTCGATGCATGAATAAACACAGAAGTAAACAAGATCACTCGCTGTGGGAAGAGGTGCACTCTGGGAGAGAAGGTGGGTGATGTCAGCGAGGGGAGGAATACACGCAGTCTTTGGAAGCTACAAATCTCAATGGCTCCTCCTTTGGCAGAGGGAGGCAGTCAGAGGCCAGGAGGTAGAGATGATAGAGGTCCAGTTGGATAGACCCCTGGCTCTGCTTCCCATGGCCTGGCCCCCTTCCAAGTGTGAGTGGAGGGCGCGTCACTCACTGCTGGGCGATCTCAAAGTCCCTTGGACATGCCAAGTACTTACGTAAGCCCATTCTAAGGAACATAAACCACCTCCCAGTTGGCCCCAGGGAAGCTGTCCCCACCAGGCAAATTGGTCCCTGGGCTCAGGTTATGGGCCTCTCTCTGCACTGATCTCCTGGTGACATTTAGAGAGGTGGACAGACCAACTGGTTTTCCTCCTTTCCCTCTGCTGTTCACCTATGGCATCTCAGAGCAGCCCCTGGTTGCTGGGCAACCTGGGACCAGGCCTGGGTGCAGGATGTCAGAATTCAGGGAGGCTGAAGGCAGTTAACCCTTGCAGGGGTGGCTCTTTGAATGGTGTAATGTGGGTAGGGGAAGATGTTTAATTCCACAAGGGGTGAATGACCTTAGCCCAAGGGTGCAAACAGCAGAGCAGGCTCTTCAAAGGAACCTCTGAATAGTAATAAAGAAAAGCCCAGTGCTTAAGTAAAGGGGGAAAGAAAAAGGGAAATCTCCACCTCTAAAAGGAAGGGTATTCATAAAGCATCTCCTGCAGGGCGGGCCCCTATGGCTGGGTTACTTCAGTCAATTCTTCTAGCAACCATATGGAGTGCAGATAATCAGCTCTGTTTTATAGACAAGGAGACTACAGCCCAGCTAGAAGGGTGAAGCTGGGATCAGACCAGCTCTGCCTGACTCCCAAGGCCTCTTAGCAGGAATAGAAAGCTCTGGCACATTACCGAGAACCAAATTCCATTTGCCCCCCTTAGCCTTCCCTGGGCCAGGGCAGAGTATTCTGGCCAGCTCCCTGCAGACTCTGGGACTTGTATTTACGTGTAAGCCAGCCATGCCCATCACTCTCCACCGGGCAGGGTGGGGTGAGGCAGGATGACTTGGGTCTGAGTCTCAACTCTTCTTTTCCTGGCTGTGCAACCTTACCCATCTCACTTAACCTCTCTGAGCCTCAGGGTCCTTCTCAATAACAAACAGGGAGGTAATGCTCACCTCAGAGGTTTATCATGGGCTTCAAGGTGCTGTGTGCACAGCATCCACCACTGATGCTCAAAAACTGCAGCTGTTATTATTATGCCTATTTTGTGGATGAGAAAACTGAGGCCCAGACAACTCTGGTCAGGCCGTATGCTCCAGGTTCAAGACACACGTGTCTGTTACTTGGATCAAATCCTTCCCCTTGGTGGGCCTCAGTCTTCCCCCTGCTAACATGAAGGGTTGGTCTGGATTATCTCTAGGGGCACTTTCAGCTCGGAGTTCCCTGAGACTGTCAATGCCAGAGGAGCAGAGACTAGGTCTGCCTTGTCCTGGGCTCCAGACCCCTGGCAGCAGGGGAACGGGGGCCAGGGAAGGAACCAATGCCTTGAATCTCAGCATGAGAGGGCAGCACACCCAGGCTTAAAACTCATCACCTGGCTATCAGCCCTGCTCCAGTATGGATGGTGCCAGCCTGGTCCTTACTGGCTAGATCAGCCGAGGAGGGGCTGCAGCTGCCCTGATGTGGATGCCTCCTCCTGTGGTAATTCCCGGAGCAGGGCTTGGCCTTCAGCAGCCCTGGCCAAGGCTTCCGGCATAATGGCTGCTTTTGCTCGGCAGGGAGGATGTGGGAGGACAGCAGAGGCTGGCCCGGAACTTTCTAGTCTTGCTCCAAGGCCTTGCCTACATCTCCCACCACTACCTAGCACGTGCCAATCAGGGGACACTTCCTATGTCACCTCCTGGGGTTCCAGCCTCTGCCCCAGGTCTCTTCCCTCTACTCTCCCCATCTCCTGGGGTCCTGGGCTAAGAGAGTAGCATACAGGAGCCCAGAGTGGAGGTTCAGTGTGGGTCAGCCAGGCCTCCTTACCCTAGTGGGGCAGAGACAGGTGGGAAGAGCCATCAGAAATTGAGCCCCTGACACATGGAGCTACCTTCTCTGGTCCCCTCTCCCTACCCCTTCTATCAGGTCCTGATCCCTTCCTATCTTCTGGATGTGGCTTTAGGGGTGTCACAGAAGACACCCTTTGCTTTAGGCCTGAGGATGACCATGGTCAGAAAGTCCAGCTCAGGAAGTCTCCTTGAGTGCCCTTGGGGAATAGAAGGGGGTAGCGTGCTGGGGGCAGGGGGCTGTGCAAATCAGGTCTTCCCCACGCAGGGTTTCAAGTCTCACCTCCAAATGTGCTTGCTCTTTATACTGGCTTTGCCCCACCCATACCCACATGCCACCAGCCCCAGAGCGTGTGTGGATGCCAGGGCCTCTCTCCGTGTGCAGGACACCTTGTCCACCTGCCCACCCAGCTCCTTGCATGGCCTCAACAGCACTTGAGTTCCCTTCCCCTTCCCACCTGTGTGCTTTTGTGACCCCCATGGCACCCACCCAGTGCTTGGCAGGCAATTGCTCTTAACAAATATTTGTTCAACTGAAAGACAGCGGAGCTGCTTTGTTAACACATGACACAAATAAGGAAAAACATCCTCAGTAGCAACAGTTGCCAGGGCAAGACGCAAAGTTCAGCGCAAGCTCAAGTCCACAACTGTTTATGGAGCACGTACTATCTGCCAGGCTCTGGGCTCCCAGAGGGTGCTGGACACACTGCTGTGGGCAGGAAAGACCAGGCAGGAGGGACAAAGCAAGGAGCCTCCCAGCAGCTCTGATTCTCTTCCCTCTCAAAGAAAGAATCTCATTTCCAAAAAGTCCTCTGGATCAAAGAGGAGAGAGATGTTAAGGAAAGGCCCAGGTTCAAAGACGCTTCCCAACAGACGAGGCTACTCACAGACCACCGTCCCGTTGACGATGTGGAACTGGTAGCCGTTCAGCACGGGCTGGCAGCCCGCCTCCTTCAGCTTCTCATAGCAGCAGTCGTGGGCCCGGCAGCACCTGAGGCCAGACGAGAGGGTGGTGAGGGGTTCTCCCTGGGAAGTAGCTGGAGGACCTTAGGTGGGACACGGAGCAGACTCAGCTGCCTCCTCCCAGGCAGTGAAAGTGGGGTGGTGAATTACAGATGATATTAAAACTAGTAAACACAACCAGCATCAGTTACTGGGCTCTGTGCAGCACCTACTCCTGTCTCCTGAGCTACACACAGTAACCCTCTGAAGCACAGTCATTGTCCCCACCTCATAGGGGAGGAAATGAGATTCGGAGAGGTGAATGTCCCAAAATCACACAGCTGGGAGACGATAGCCCCCGCCTCAAATCTGGACCCACGTGACTCGTTCATTCATTGAGCAATTTTAACTGGGCCCCGACTGTGTGCCAGGCACTGTGACCATCACCGAGGAGACGACTGTCAGCATGAACAGATGTCGTCCTGCTCTCAGGGCACCCAGAGTTAGCTGGAGGTTGCACAGGAGAGCGATGGAGGAGAAATGACATCTGGGGAGTGGTCACAGCCCATTTCCTCCCCCGCTGTGCAAGGGGCGGGAATGCAGAAACCTGGACTTGGAGTCTCAGGCCTGCAGTGCCAGTGTCCCTCTCTCATCATTCCCATCTGCAAGTGGATGCTTCGCCAGTTATCATCTTGGGCTAATAGTGTTCAATTTCTAATCAGCCTTTGGACTTGGATGACGGGGAGGCACACAGCATCAGAGAAAGGAGACCAGGACAGGCTTTGAAATCAGCAAATTCGTATTCAGATCCTGACTTTGCTACGTAGGAGCTATTCCCTCCCTATGAAGAGGAGCAGCAACTCTGGATCCTGGATGCCTGTGGTCCTGTAGAACGAGGCTGGCTGGTAACACTGCCTCTTTCCCTCCTGGGAGGATGAAGTCAGGCCCCGTGTGCAAGTCACCCATCCCAGCTCCTGGCCTATGTGGGTATATCCTAAGTATCAGTCCCCTTTCAGGGCTCTGAGGTCCTCCCAGCTGGAATATTCATGGTTCCATGAGCCCAACCCATGGGGACTCAACTCTGGGGAGTGATAGTTCAGGCCCAGCTGTCAAGACATATTCTGCACATTAGGTTAAATGTACTGAGAAACATTGTGCTTTTATATTTCATTTTTTGCAGACAGAGTCTCACTCTGTCACCCTAGGTAGAGTAGGGTAGCATCATAACTCACAGCAACCTCAAATTCTTGGGTTCAAGTGATCCTCTTGCCTCAGCCTCCCAAGTAGCTGAGACTACAGGCACCCGCCACAATGCCCAGCTAGTTTTTCTATTTTTGGTAGACATAGGGTGCTGCTCTTGCTCAGGCTGGTCTCGAACTCCTGAGCTCAAGCAGTCCACCTACCTCAGCCTCCCAGCGTGCTGGGATTACAGGCATGAGCCACCACGCCCGGCCTTGCTTTCATATTTCTTCAAATGAAATGACACGCAGACTGTCCTGTTTCCCACCTCCCTCTACACTCACCAGATTACACCCACCTCCATTTTTTTCTGGGAACTCACACTGCCCCACCCCCCACCCTTAGAAGTAGGCCTGGCCCCCAGTTTTGTTGCAACCTCACCCAGATGGACAACTTTTCCAAACTGGGCCACTTGGAGTCCCTCTCCTAGAATCTGGAATTAGAACTGGGAGAAGGTGAGTCAGTCTTGCTGTATCTAGCCTCCTAAACGCTGGGAAGTTGAAAGGAGGACACATTTCCTACGAGAATGAGGACGTTTCTAGGGCTCTGGGCAGGACTGACCACACACACCTGCAGAGCCCTGGGCAAAATGAAAACATGGGCCCCTTATTAAGAAGATCAAGTTGGCGACAGTAGTCAACTACGCTGGGGCCCTGACAACTTCACAGGTCACACACTCAAGAAGCTGGCCCTGACCCTGGGTTTCCTCCAGAGACCCACCCTCAGGCTCCTGGTCAGTTCTTCCTTCTGCTGGCCTGAGGTGGTCTCTGTCACTTGCCATGCAAGAATCCTAACACCCTCTCTCTGGTTTTGAACATGAATGTTAATGCAATCAAACGCTGGGCGGCCCCAGAGCCTCTGTACCCACCGGTCAGTGTCATCCACAGGGACACCTTTGCCCCCAAGCCCACAGTAGCAGCCATAGCCGTAATATGAGAAGAAGGCGCTCCGCCCCGTGACGTGTTTGACCATCCTCTGAAACTGCCAGAAGCTGCCGTGAGTGGGGGCCATCACTGCCGACGAGAAAATAAGGAAGAAGAACGTATGCAATTGGCATGGCGCTGCCCTGACATCCCCTCCCCTCATCAGGACGCTTTGCATCTGGGATGTCACCAGATCCCTAAAGCAAAGTACACAGGCACAGCTGGGGATCAGCAGCCCCTTTCCTGGAGGAAAACAGGATCGACATTACCCCCGCAACATAGCTAGTTCCTTCTAACCCAGAATGAGCACCCAGCTTCCGTGACATTTAGAACAGTGCTCTCCTGCCAACCACGGTCTTCCCAAAGTAGAAAACCACCATCCTCGGCAGAAATACCCTCAGGCCTGGTGCAACATTAACAGGATGAGTTCAAAGCCAGAAATGCCAGGCCCTACCGATGTCCTGGGGGCTTATGATCTGGTAGGAGAAACAAAATGCTTAAGAGGCAGGAAAGACACCCTCCATTGATTTATTTAAACAGCAAATACACAGAGACCCAGCAATTTTTGGTTCAACCAAATGCTTATGAAAGTGGGCACCAAGTGGGCACGCAGGGATGTCCACTCCAGCATTATTTGTGACATCAGAAAATTGGAAACCACCTACGGGTCCACCGATAGGGGGATAATAACAAAATTATGTGTCTTAAAAATATATTACATTTAATAGTCATATCTCTAGGCAGTGAGATTGAGGAGGTAGACAGAGAAAGAAACAGGTGCTGTTTATTTTATTTACTTCCATACTGTCAGCATTTTTTTTTATTATAAGCCTGTGTATTATTTTTCTATTATGTTTTAAGTGTGTGTGTGTGTGTGTGTGTGTGCACGCACAAGCATGTGAAGGCTGTGTGTGAGGATGTGCACCACACTGGTTGCCTATGAGGATGGGCACAGTGGCTCACAACTGTAATCCTAGCACTCTGGGAGGCCGAGGCAGGAATATCCCTTGAACTCAGGAGTTCAAGGCCAGCCTGAGCAAGCGCGAGATCCTGTCTCTATTAAAAGTAGAACAATGATCTGGGCATCATGGTGGGTGCCTGTAGTCCCAGCTACTTAGGAGGCCGAGGTAGGAGGATTGCTAGAGCCCAGGAGTTTGAGGTTGCTGTAAGCTAGGGTGATGTCACAGCACTCTAGCCTGGGTGACAGAGTGAGACTCTGTCTCAGAAAA